CAACCAGCCGGTCGAGGCAGATGGTCTCCTGTCCTGAACCTGGTTCTGCTGGAGGTTTCTTCCTGATTAGCAGGGAGTTTTTCCTCTCCACCGTTTGCTCAGTATGGGAGACTGTGATGAAGTGATTCAACACAACCTGCTGGTTTCTTCTTTAGATTGTTCTTTTTTTCATTTACAGTGCCCTGAGACAACGTATGTTGTGACTTGGCGCTATATAAATAAACTGAATTGAATTGAATTGAATTGAATTGGACAACAGAAGCAGTTCTTTTGTGTTGACTTAAATATGTAAAAAACCGTGGTTCTATTTTCGATCAGGGTTTACCTTTTAACCCTGTTAAAAATAAGCAATGTTCTTTACCCTTTCCCTGTTCAGATGTGACACCAGTTAATAATAATGACGTGAATGTTTGAGTTAGCCATTCAAACCATCTGGACACAGCTGTGGACTGATTAGCTTTTGTTTTAATCTGCCTCCGACAGGCATCAGCTAAGTAGTGCCCAGAACCTGGAAAAACACATCAAATTACCAACCTCTTCTCATCCTGACCCCGCCTCACGACAGTGTCTTAAACGGGATGTTATCTCTGTACAGTCAAGTTGTCAGACATTATTCCTCACGCTAATGTTTAGTCATGGTTCTTGTGTTGTTTTAAATCAGACATGTATCTAACTAAAAGCCTCCTGAGTCTGTGAAGCTCTGATCAAGAGCCCCACAATCCAGTCTGCACATAAAATCAATTCAATCAGAGATAACCACATTATAAAAAGATATTACTGTTCACCTAATAAAAGACTATACAATGGGTAGTGTCTTTAAAAGTCAGTAGTAAACAACCCCAATGAATTTATTCAACCCCAATATTAAAAACGCTACCAGGAATGCTTTATTTGACCTAAAACATAAACTTCTTGTTTCAAAACTAGATAATGCATAGTGGTAGCATATTTGATAGAGATGGGAATCTATCTCACAACTCAATTCAAATTTGATTTTTCATTCAAGTCTGATAACGTGAGCCCATTCGTGTTCCCAAAGTTCTTCATCTTCATTTCCTTGCACACAATGAAGTTAATGTCAAACTTAGACTCATTATGTAAAAAACAAAATAAGCCCAAATATTTGCCTTCAATGAAGACAGGACCAGATGAATCTCTCTTTCCTCCAGTTTTGTAGTTTTCTCTTTGTTTTGGTCCTCTCTGTGCATGCACACATTCTAGAACCAGCTGTGAGGTGACATCAGGACGTCCCACGTAGTTACAAAATAGAAGCTGACAGTCACTGGATTTGATTTAAAATTTGATTTGGGGACATTTTAAATGAATTCTGAATCGTTGTAAATGAGAATCACGATTCTAATATATGACCCCCGCACATACGCAAAGCACCAGCGGTCATCATAATGGATTTATTGTTTGGGGTGGGGGTCCAGATTGGTGGGGGTCCTCATTATTGGACCCGATGGAAAGCCCTTCATCAGAGCTAATCAAAAAAAAAACAATCTGAAGCTCCCATGTTGAACAGTTTTTGAGTTATAAGCATTTTTGTATGTCCAGACACCCCCTCATCAAATATGGGGTCTATCGTAAAACCATTGGCGGGCGCAGTGTAAGTTGGACAAATCGACATTCCTTACGAATTTCATGTTGATCGATGCAGCTGTTTCGGTAATATGGTGGACCAAAAATCACTGAAGATAAATAAATAGACAGTGCGAAAACAAAATGGCCCCTCTTTCATGTGTGGGGGTCCTAATGATCCATTCACTTCTAGAATTAACACTTTATTGTCTGAGAATATAAAAATCTGGAGTCAAAGTTAGAATTTTTCCAGTTTTAACTTCTGTCAAATTCAGAATAAAGTTTAAAATCTTACCTCTAGCATACAAAACTCACATTAAAGAAGCTCCGTCTTGTATTAAAGATTTTATTGTTCAAAATAAATCCTGACAAAGAATGTTTTTCAGTTTAGATAAATGAGAATGAATCCTTGAATGATTAATTATGGCTTTATCTCAGATTATTAGGCTAAATCATCAATTCCAAAGAATTCTTTTATTATTCTCCATATTTTCCATCTTTGTTATTTCTGTTGGGCTGATTTTAATTATGGTTGATGATTCTGATTATTTTTGTAATAAAGTTTTCACTGATGAAAATAACTGATCTTATTAAACAAATGAAAGCTTTGTTGGTTTCTCCGTCTGTAGAGCTCGTGCTCCTTTCAGAAAGGATCAGATTTGTTCCCTCCCTCAGCTGAAGCCGCTCGACCCGGACTCTGATGGATCTGCAGCTCCTCGTCCTCCCGGCACATCCAGACCTTCCACATCTGGAAGCAGCACAAGCTGCAACAAGCCAACGCTCTAACCTGCTCTCTGTCTGCAGAGTTTATAATAATTGTCAGGGTCTGGGTCAAATTTCTGTCAGGTTTGTAAAGAAATATAAATCCATGACCAATGTAAGATTAGTGCTGTGTTTTATCCCAAACTTCTAGACTTTATTTCAGGACGTGGTGGTCAAAATGTTTTAAAATATACTGAAAGAAGTTGTGCCAAATGAACTGAGAACTCCCTCTTTTCATGTAACTATAAGTAATAAAGAGGTTTAGCCACAAGGAGGGGCTCACAGAAAAGGATTTCTTCCTTTTTCACTTCAACGGCTGAGTTTTAATATTCTGGAAAAAAAACTTTTCTGTTTGTGAACAAATAAAAGGAAGATGAAGCAAACTGAAGCTACTCTTGATCATAAACTCCTCTGACCTACTGAACAATAGAGGGCAGAATTAGAGAAAAAACATAAACAGCAGGACAGCTGAAAGTAAATGAGGTCATTTCTTCTTCAAATGAAGCTTTTTTTAACATTTGACGGCCCATTCTTTAAATAAAACTGTCCACCGCTGAGACAAAGCGTCTCAGTCCCACATGTACAAACATGTGCGTCACCAGGATTCTCACAGCCGAACAGATGAGCTCACTCCCTTCTTACATTTATCCATGTCCCGCCGTGATGCTCAGAAGAGAATCCGCCTTCCCACACACTGAGGAAGAATGTCTCCTCCTCAGCTTCAAAGTCCGTGCTTCCTCCCCGGTCCAGAACATTTAGCTGAGGGCTATTCTTCAGTCAACAAAGCTCTGTGCAGATTGTCCTCAGAACCAAATAAACACAGCTGCCAACAGCTGCAGGAGCAACACGAGAGGAGCTCTGGCATCAGAAACAGTCCTAATAATGTTCTAACGCTACTGGATCAGCAGAACAAGTCAGGGATCAGATCCCAGCTGATAGGGAACAGATTTGTTAGGAGGAGAAACAGAGTGTGTTTGTGTGTGTTCCTCAGTTTTATTACTCTTTTAAAACCTTGTCTGGTTTACTCACCCAACTTGTCAGGACCGGTGAATCTGGGGTCCAATAGGTCCTAATATGATGGAACAACAGTTTTACATCCCAGGTTAGGTTTAGTTATGAACTCTGAACAAATAGTTATGAAGAAATAATATCTTACCCGTTGTAGATAGCTCTATGATCGGCCCAGGTTTGAGAAAGTTCTGATTCCATTTTGATTGATGAGCTCATGGCTAGTCCGACACAACAAATTTCAAATCATTTCTGCATGAATGACCCAATAATACAAAACAGTGCTGTTAAAAAGAATGAAATAGTGTTGGTATGAAAAGATTTATTTTGAAGGCTTAAATCGTTTTACTTCTACTTTCAAAGTCGTCCTCTCAGACTGTATCAATGAGCTAATATTGGGAAGTTGAACTGAGCCGCCTTCTAAAGTAGATTTTATAGTTTAAAACCAGAGTCTTTATGTTGAACAGTTCTCATGAACTTTTCATAAACCATCACACTGCTGTCAGTGTTACATTAGACAGAGATAGCAATGGTGTTGAGGTTTTTAAAATAATGTTTGAACTGTTGTGGAACTCCAAAGACCAGAGATGTTTGTAACACTTTATAATAACTCCACCTTATTTAGCCTTACTTAATCATTAATTAATGATTAGTTAACCTTGAAAACATCATTAATTAAGGATGATTCAGACTTATGAAGCTAAAACTGTCTTGATGTTTAATTAGTAATTAGTAAAAACCTACATATTTATTATTTATTCATTAACTCGTGAATTAAATATTCTATAAACTGTGTGTATTTGTGTGTAAATGTTCATATAAATGTACTTTCACATCATGTGTTAGACATGGATTAATGATTAGAGAATGTTTGAATTTGGTCTAGTTCAAAAGGAACTTATGGCCCATCAGGGTTTTGTAAACATTAATTTATAAAAGCAAAACATTAAAAAAAACATTAATAGATTTTACTTTATAAAGGTTCAGAAAAATTAAGTAACAACTGCATTAATTATTGACACACTGCAGGATTAGTAGAAGTCATTTCAAACCTTTTCTAACCATTAATATGTAAGAAAAATATGTGTTCAAAGACTGAAGTCAATATAAAACCACCAATGTTAAATAACATGATTTTTAGAAGGAGTAAAACCATACAACACCAGAATTCTGGAGTGGGGGTTTATTGTCACCTAAGCTGACAGGAAACCACACACTGACCACAAACCAGGAAGTTGATCCATTTATACAGTCTTCAATGCCTGCGTTCGCCCCCTGCTGACCTACGGCTGAATCACGGGCATTCGTACAAAATTCTCACCTACTGTTATTTTTTAACGGTTGATTATGTGTTGTTATATTATTCGGACATGCAACTAATCTATATAAATCAACACATAATGGATTAAACATTATAAAAGGAAAACCTAAAGATATAGTGTTGTGCTTTTAACATCAGTACTAAACTCTAATAAATATAAATTTCTTCAAATACATGTCTAACACATGGTCTTAAAGTACATTTATACTTATTTACATACATACATATTTACATACATATACACAGTATATATAATAGTTAATTCATGAGTTATTAAGCATGAATAAACAATGAGTATGTTGGTTTAGCCTTAATGGGTGAAGCATTATTAAATGTCCTGATGCAGCTCAGTAATCCAGGTAGAAAAAAATCAAAAAGAAAAAAATAAGTAGGTCCTCTGGATGGGTTCTTCTTTAGTGAAACGTTTCGTCTCTACTCCAAGAGACTTCTTCAGTCTGAGGAGTTTCAGGTGAACTCAGCCTTATAAGCATTGCCTCCACATGGTGGACAAACAGGTCAGTCACATGCAAAATAGGCCCATTGACTAACAACAGGCTTGATTAGCTCAATAGTTCATAGAGGGTCATGTGCCCCATCACCTGACCCGTGTCGTGTTATCTGTATGTAGTGAATGCAAGCGGGGCTCGAAGTCCCCTTGTTTTTGTCTCTCATCAGACTGAAGAAGTCTCTTGGAGGAGAGACGGAACGTTTCACTAAAGAAGAACCCATCCAGAGGACATACTTATTTTTTCTTTTTGATATTATTAAATGTGTTTATTTATAGCTTATTAAATCTGAATCATCCTTAATAGATTAGGTTTCAAAGTTAACTAACCATTTATGAATGATTAGGTATGGTAGAATAAGGTGTAGTTATAGTAATTCAGTCATTTTTGAATTTCATAACTTAGCTATCGACAGTCAACAGTACCAACATCGGTCAGAGCTCGAAGGACAGAGAATGAAGTCTCCATCCAGGCTAGACTAATGGCTAGCCAAACCCAAGACCGTTTTCTATCATTTATTACGTGTATAAAACAAGTGTTTTTGAAAAATGTCGTAATAGTGTGAAAACGTTTTAATCCAAAGGTTTATTCAGCGCCAGGCGACTAATACATTCAGTAGCCTCAGTGTGGTCACTAAACCATCTAATGCTGCTCAGTACATCCGTTACACAGATGTGGAAAATTGTGGAAGTTTATTTTTTATGTATTAAATGTATTTTACTTCATGCGATGTTCTTTCACACAAACATTTTTCAGTTGTTTTTGTCTAAAGCTGAAATAAAAAAAAAACTGGTGATCATTTGACGAGCCATTATCCTGAGCTGGAGGAAGACTTTTGCCTCTTCCTCCACACTTTGTGCTCTATGACTGAAGTCACGTCTGATGCTGTTTACTGTTTTACATCTCTATCTGCAGCAGCTAAGATGTTGTATAATTGTTTGTAACTTTTCCACAGAACACTTCAAAGAGGCTGAACTATCAGAGCGCTCTGACTGACCCATCCTCTCCTCGAACTTAGATGACATCAGAGCAGGAAGGCAGGGTCGAGCCTCGGCTCTGCTCAGGCTGCTCCATCAGCCTCCCTCTTTCTGAACATGGACCACCCTCCTCTGCTCCCCACCTTTACTCTGCCTTCACTCTCAACGCAAAGACGGAGCGCAGGACTGGGAGAGAGGAAACTCAGCATGGAGGGCATGAACCTGCAGGAACCACACAACTGAGGCGCCTTTTGGACCACAGACTGAACTCACTGACATCGGTAAGCCTTTTGCTTATAGTTGCTTATTTTTCATTTTAAAAAGTCATTTGATTGGATTTCAGCTCGCAACTTTCATATAAACCACAAATTACCAAGCAATAAACTAGAATGTTGGCTGAAAAACACGTGAAAGATTAAATAGAAATGTTAAAAGTTTTGGAAAACATTTTAATTCTTAAAACAACTGAAACTTTCTGTCTCTCAGAATTTATCTCAACAAATCAGATTAATTATACCAAATAATAATAATAGTTCAAAGTTACATTAGTGAACTCCACATTGGCTTTTAAAAATGTTATCAGCTTCCACTTAAAGTGCTAATTATTGTGCTCCTGTCTGTTTGTGTGGATGTGTGTGTGTTAGAAAAATATTAGGACAAATTTTAATAAAACTTACAGAAAATAATAGTTTGAACAACTTTTGACTCAATGTTTAAGATAGCACTGCTGATTTTACAGACCTAAATTTGACCTAAATGTTTGGTGTGGCAGCAGCTGAGATTTATCTCCAACATGTATTCTGAGAAATCTTTGTTTTCCGTAATTACTCTGTCTGTTAGCAAAATATCTCCTGAAAGACTGGACTGAACAGTCGCTACAACTTGAGTTGGCAAGAAGCAGAAATCAACTGAACGTGTTAGCAGCTGAGATCCTTTACCATCACGAGCTTCAAGTGTTACTCACTGCGCACTTTGCAATGAATTCTGTTTGTCTGTTAGCAAAATATCTCACAAAACACTGGACTGATTGTAATGAAACTTTCAGTGAGTTGTCACTGGGTTCACAACTCCAGCTGTTTGTTCTTTTAAATTAAATAAGTTCAAGGTGGCAGCATTAACCCACATTAACCAGCACAGGAACTGTTAGTTTTACAGAGACTGATTTAAAATTTGATGCTAGTATCTAAGAGTCATCTCCACAACAGTTACTAATGTGTAAATGAATATATCTAGTTCACAACTCATCACTAAATACTGACTGCACATTAACTGTAAAACCATAAGATGATCTCAGTGTAAAACTCTGGCATGAGGAGTGTTGAGCATCACTTTAAAAAGTTCTAGGAGTTTAATTGTTAGTTTCCCCCTTGTGTTAAGTTGAGGGCAGTTTTATATCTGCAGAAAGAGCCATGGATCCAGTTTTTTTCTCTAAAGCTCCTGTTCTGTTTCCCCGTGTATCACATTGCCTCCTCAGCAGACGGGCCTAATCACTGGCACCAATGCTTGTGGTCTTCTTGGCAAAGGGTGCTAAAAGTCTACAGGCCCGGAGGAAAAGCCACAATGTCGTTAGACAGGAAACAGGGGAATATTTCAGATTAACAATGCATGTGTTCTGTGTTTTAGAACAGAAGAATGGAGGAACTCGGACACAGTGTTCTTATTGACTCATGTTTTGAGGTTTTCAACATTAAGTGAAACTTCTGCCAGTAGAGAGAACAGAGTTCAGTGGTACCAGTCAGCATCAGAGGGCACACAGTTTGTCTGAATATTTCATTAGACAAACTTGATATTATCTCAGTCAACAATAACATTTATTCTCTGATAATTCTGGTCCTCACACAGCTTCTGATGCTGCTGATTATGAAAGTAATCTCCAGCACAGTTCAGAAGGTATCGTTCTCCGCTGGGTACGTTTTATTCTCACTGGTAGAAAGTTTTTAGTTTCAGTTTGTAACTAAAAATGAAGGCATGGAGTTCAGCAGGGTTCAAGTCTTGGTCCTCTTTCTCTTTAGTTTTTACATGCTGCTATAAAAGGCGGGTGTGTGTGTGTGTGTGTGTGTGTGTGTGTGTGTGTGTGTGTGTGTGTGTGTGTGTGTGTGTGTGTGTGTG